TCGATCAATACATGTTATTGTTTTAAAGATGTGCTAGACGAGGCTGACACTTGTAAACAATACAACGTGAATAAGCATCGCGGGCAGGATTTCAAGGATCGCGGGCGAAACAAAAGCAACGCGGCTGTTTGTCTAAGCGACGCGGGCCTGGGGAGAACACTGTTTGAGGGTTGAAGGGAAGCACATCAAAAGAACGAATGTTCCCAAGAGAAGCTGTTGAATCAAGACAATAGATGCAGATAAGTGCAACTCAAATTTTATACAAGATACATTCCATATGATAGAACAGATCCTTGCAGCGATATGACACTATACAGTTGATGAGCAAATACGTTTGCTGTTGCTCTCATGGTCATCTCAGACAACTAATAAACAGAATGGCAATGCAGGTATTTCTTTTGATCTGACCATAGACCTTAGAAAGAGAGGGATGAGCAACTTGATTATAAAAAAAAAGGATTTCACAACTACAGTTATAAACAAATGACCAAGCCAAGGAAGCCGTATGACTTCACTCACAATCAATCGGCCGCGCAGTTTGCAACACATCTGTCAGTGCTTGTGCTCATTACATCGAATTTTTACTAGATTTCAATACAAGATCCATTTGTTTGTACTGGTTATTAGGTGACACTTAATATATGTAGAGTTACAATTCGTTTTTTTCATCAGTATAAATTAACTATTTGGCTGATTTTATGTGCGGTGACAAAAGACAGTATGCCGTCGCATATACCTCCGCTGCGTGTCTGTTGATACTTCGTCTGTACTGTCCTTGTGTCTCCTTAGAGGTACAGTGCTCATTCCGCCCAACCTCCCGCTTTTATCGCTTTTTTTCCCTGACCGCTTATCGATTAATTTCCGACCGCTCGCTGCTTTCCGACCGGAAACCGACCGCTTTTTTTACGCTCGCTCGCGTTTGCTTTTGTTCGCTCGCTCACTCGCTTTTGTTCACTCGCTCCTGCTATGGCTGGCTTCAGAAACATCGTTCGCTTGCCAACCGACCACTGGAGTAACAATGATCGTACATTGTATGTATAAACTTAAGTTTTTATTCGTAATAAATTTAGGTTTTAATGACGATTCAAAACACAACGCCTATTGCTTCTCTGTTTTGGAACAAAGACTCCTTCAAATCACTTGACACATTGTAACGTTTGCTACGCAAGTCGAACTGTGACCTGTATTTACAAATTTACGTCCTTGTGTGTGTAGTTCAAGC